GGTGACAGCCTCGAAGGGCTGCCGGGGAGCGCGGGGCGGGGGGGCGCCTCCTTCTGGGTCCCCTCCCTGCGCCTCCCACCTGCGTGAGGATGCAGAAGGAGCCACTGCGGCAGCTGTGCTCATGGGAGGTGCACCCGCCTGCCCTGTGCGTGGAGCTGCCCCGTGTGTTAGGCCGGAGGAGACGACGCCGAGCCTTCCTGGGGAAGTTTCTTGCTGAGTTGGCTCCTGTCAGCGCTGCCGCTGCTGCTGTTTCCAACTCCCCCTGACAACAGGGCGAGGAGGAGAGCCGGCGGGAGTGCGGCGCTGACCCACGTGCTTCTGCACCTCCACCCCTCCTTCCCTCCCCTACCTGCTCCTCGCTCCGCCTGCGCTGCCGCTTGGGCGTCTTTCACCCAGTGACACAGTTTCTTCTCCCTCGGAAGGCCCGGGGGGGGGGTTGGAAAGAAGGAGCCGTCCTCGCGTGTAGGCCCCGCGTGGTGAGACGGACCTGTGTCTCGAGTTATGCACAGCCGCCCAGGGCGGGTTCCCCCGCACCAGAAATTACCACAGGTAAGGAGAGAGAAGCAGGCGTGCGGGTTGCTTTCCCTCTTCCACCTGGCCTGCGCCAGAAGATGGCCAACTTGCACCTTTCCTTGAATTTTGGACTTCTTTCCTGGGTCAGAAAGGAAATTTCAGTGCTTTCAGTCTCTCGAGTAACTACTGTAGCATTATGGTAATTATCACCTGGTTTTTGGCAGAGTTTCCCGTCCTTATCCACTCCTTCATCTGATCACAGTTATCTTTCTTATAACTTCCTCACCCACGAGTAGACAGGAAAAGTGCAGGAAAACTTCGTGCCTTGAATTTGATCGTTATGATAGATACCATATGCTCTTCATTACAAAACCTAATACATTTATTATGGCACAGACTTTCATGGGATGTGGTCCGGATCCAAACAATTTGATCAAGATAGAAACATGATTATCTCCAGAAGTGTTTCATGTCTCCAAAAGCCTTACATGGTTAAATCACATTTAGATGAAGAAACTTCCTTCTTAAATAATGAGTATCAGTGGAGACCTTAGTACTAAGTATTAAGCTTAAGACAGAAACATTCATTGTATAACAAATAGGGTTATTTTTTGTATTTTGCAATTGTTTATTAATGCTACATTAGCTTTGGATGTAAAATTTAAACACTTTATGCTTATCAACATTGACATTTTAGGAATGATAGTTAATATTGATATAAACTTTTTATCTTTAAAGATTTAAGTTATCTAAACATTAGAGTATTAATAATCTCTAGTCAATATGGTATAAATGCCACTGTACCCAAATAATATAATGTACTACTTCTGTTTTATAATAATACAATAAAAACAATTTTAAAAAAGACAGTTCATTTACTGATCACCACCATCATCTCTTTCCAAATAAGCCTCTGATGATACTGGATAAACATAGAAAAAGTCAGGATAAGTGTTAACATATAATAAAATTATTATGACATTCCTGTTTGTAGTTAATTCTGTACTTTGTTTCAGTAACAGAAATGTTAGTAATATTCACACAAAAAATGCCTTTGAACCAACTCTGAAACAATTTGCATTTGGGACTGGTGTTTTTTAACTTGTTCATAAATGATCTTGGTTTAGGGAAATGCACTGAGCTGACCAAGTAAGCAGATAAGAATTTTTCAAGGTAGTAAAAAACAAGACAGATTTCTTTCAATTGCATGAATAGTTAAACAAATGGCAAATACTGTTCAAATTATGTATATTTAAGGTTTAGAACACTTCCCTCCCTGCCTGCCTTCTTATATACACTGAGATTTCTGTGATTAATGGATAAAAAGATCTTGGGGTCATTGTGGAGAGCTCAGTGAAGATGCTAATGCAGCATGCACGAAGGCAAATTCCATGTTGGAGATAATTAAGGGATTAAAAATAAAACTGCAAAGATTAAAAATGTCCTTTTACAAATCTATGGTATGTCAGCATCTGAAATACCTTGTAAGGTTATGCTTGCTATATTGGGTATCATAAAAGGGTACAATAGAACTGGAAAAAGTGTAGATGAGGCCAAGAGGGCCTAAACTCCTTATATGGAAAGGACTGTTCTAGGCTGAAAAGAAGACAACTGACAGGGAACATGATTGAAGTGTATAAAGTCATAAATGGCATGAAAAAAATGAACAAAGAAGTTTTTCTCTCAGATTACTAGGACCAACAAGTCATCCAGTGAAGCTACAATGAAGGAAGTTAGAACACATGAAAGAAAATGCTTCTTCACGTGATATATAATTCACTTGTAGAATTCATTACTATAAGACATCATTATAACCACTAACTTGGATAGCTTTTAAAAGGGACTAGATAAATTCATGGAGGATAGGTCTATCAAAGGCTATTCATTTTTGAGCCTTAGTATTAACTTAAGATTTAGGGCTGCGTGCCTTCAAATACCAGCTGAAGAGGAATAATGATGGGTGAGGGGTATTTCTCCATCTTCTTCTTGTAAGCACCTCAGAGACATTGAGTTGGCCATTGTACTTAGCTAACATGGGCTTGACCTGATCCAGCAGGGTTGTTCTTATGAACTCTTTTTGTGATTGCAAAATATCATTTTTAGAACATTAAACAGGTATCGTGCTTACAATTAAATTAAGCACTATGTCATCTCTCTGTCATAGTATCGTTGCAGAATGACTTATAGAACCAACAGGAAATATTTGCAGTAGAAATACAATGATGCAATTTGTTATCCTCACTAATTATTCACATAGCCATTCTTATTATTAACAAGATCTCTTGCAAATAAAACTTTCCTAGAGATTCTCCATCTCCATACAGTACTTCCACAAATCAAGTTCAATCAGATGGCTAAACCCACCATTCTCTCCTCCTTGCCTTCTCCACTAGCCCTAGGTCCACCCCACATTAGGGAGAGTGCTTGGTGGATGTTTTTTCCACCAGAGGAAATCAACCAATCACTGAACTTTAATTTGTCCCAGTGCAAATTGTTAGGACAGTAACACTGACCAGCCTCATTTATGAGGCAGAGTAGCAATTGGCTATGGAGGCTGAGCAAATCTGTGCTGCCTCATAGACCAAAGGAATGAACATTAAGTTGTTTGTCTGGATGTGCCCTTGTCCCCAGATTGAATCTGGATTCAGCCAAGTAGAATGTAGATCACTTGCACCAGTTCTGCTCTTTTGATTTATGCTTGTGAAGGGATCTTAATGAAACAAAGCTAGGTCTGAGCAAAGCTTTCATTCTTTCAGCTTATCACTTACTGATTAATATTTGAAGACTCCAAATTGAACATTACTTACCTAACCAATATCTTATTTTTCTGAGAAAAGTCCAAACGCCACTCTTGCTATCAGCACAGCCTTTCTTTTAAATGCCAAAGTTACTTCTGTGCCATTTGTGGTATAATACTTCTAAATCTGCCTAAAATATGTTATTCTTAAAATTTACTTTCAGTTTGCATCTATAAACCAGTACGTAATTAAAATTTCCTGCAGAACAAGAGAAATGTTACTTATATGGGTAACACAGTTATATTTCTAGAGTTCATCCGCAGTTCTATTTCCCTGCTATTTCCCTGCTAACAGGATAGGAATCAGGATGTTTTTCTCATCATTTGCCACAATCCTAAGATTCTGCAGAAGAACAGAACTGTTATTTGTCAGATTTGGTACCTTTACCTTAAACATATAAGAAGCTGGGAGTCCTGCAGGTTTTGCCTCTTTAAATATGAACAGTTAAAATTCTTAGCAATGGATAATGAGAATGTGGATGTTATGAATTTGGTAACTGCTCATCTAAATTATTAACTTCCCCTGTAAGAGGGGAAAAATTATACTACTAATATAATTGACAAACGTCGGGTCTTTCTGACCAAGCAAAAATGCATACAAAATGCTTTCATAGAATATTCCATTTCTACATCAGAAGCGAATATGTGTAGCTCAGGGTTGAACCGTGGAGTCCTTGGGGTTCTCTGAGCTTGGTTGTTTTCTTGCAAATGTTTCGT